TGTGTGTGTGTGTGTGTGTGTGTGTGTGTGTGTGTGTGTGTGTGTGTTTTCCTTCTTTTGATTTTGTTGATGAAAGATTATCTATTGCTAGTGTATGTGTGGGTGTTATTTAACTTGGGTTAGAGTTTTCCATTCAGTACCTTCTATAAGACTGGATTTGTGGGTAGGTATTGTTTAAATTTGACTTTTGTTTTTTCTATCTATGGTGATTGAAAGTTTCACTGGGTGTATTAGACTGGGCTGTCATCTGTTGTCTTTTAAAGTCTGTGGTTTGGAATCTCTGTTGAGAAGTCGTGTGTGATTGTTATAGGCTAGCCTTTATATTTTACTTAGCATTTTTCCCTTGTGCTTTTAGTAGTCTTTCTTTGTTCTGTACATTTAGTGTTTTGAGTATTATGTGACATGGGGACTTTCTTTTCTGATCTACTCTATTTGTTGTTGTTGTTTTGGTAAGCTTCTTGTTATTTTATACGCATGTCATTCTTTAAGTAATGGAAAATTTCATCTATGACTTTGTTAAATGTATTTTCTAGGTTTTTATGCTGAGATTCTTCTCCTTTTTCTTTTATGGTTATTGCTAAATTTGGTCATTTCATGGTGTCCCAGATTTCCTTGATGTTTTGTGTTAAGAGGTTTTTAGATTGACTATTTTATTTGCCCAATGAAACTATTTCTATTGCATTCAACACCTTGCATCTCTTTTATTATGTTGGTGCTGCTTGTATTTGTAGTTCATGTTTGCTCACCCAGATTGTCCTTTTCTTGAAATCCATCAGTTTGTATTTTTGTTATTGCTTCTATTTCAATTTTCATACCATAAATACTTTTTGCTACCTGCTTGCACTATTCTTGGCTATCCTGACATATTATTTAAGAGATTTGTTCATTTCATCTTATTCTTTGATTATCTTTGCATCAATTTATTTAAAGGAGTATTTCATTTCTCCTTAAGGAATTCTATCATATTCAATAAAGTTGTTTCAAGGTCATTTTCTTTTGCTTAGGCAATGTTGAAATACTAAGGTCTTGATGTCAAAGGATGGATGGGCTCTTGTGGGGTCATATTGCTCTAGCTGTTGTTTATTGTATTTTTAAACTGGCATTTATGCATCTGGGTTTGGAATGATTAGTTCTACTCCCTGAATTCTGAGTTACTCTTCATTGGTTGGGTGTTTTCGTTCTTGGTTTCTGTTTCCTCTTTAGTTTTCTAGTCTAGTTGGGAATCCCTGTTCAAGTTGGAAGTTGTCCTTCTGGCTGTTAGCTTGGCCTTTGGTGTAGCAGGGGATCACTGTTCTTCTGACTGGTTTGGCATGCATCTGTGATGGGGAATCTCTTTCTGTATGCAGTGAATGTGTTGCTCTGATTGGTTGATAAATAAAATTCTGATTGGCCAGTAGCCAGGCAGGATGTATAGGCAGGATAAACTGACAAGAAGAATTCTGGGAAGAGGAAGGCTAAGTCAGCAGAGGCCAGCCCGCAGTCCAGAGAGCAGCATGTAACAGCACACATGTGAAGCCACAGAACACATGGCAACATATTGATTAACAAAAATGGGCTGAGTTTAAGTGTAAGAGATAGTCAGTGGTAGGCCTGAGTTAATGGCCATTTAGTTATAATTAATATAAGCCTCTGTGTGTTTACTTGAGGGATGTGATTGAGAGAGATTTGTCCCTACTGCCAGCAGGTGGGGTCACAAAAATCTCTCTGACTACACACATGAGCAGCTGAAGACTGATCAAGCTGGTGTGACTTAAGTTTAGAATTCTTTAAAGGATTACTTGACAGTTTTACTTCAGTTGAACATGTAAATTACACTTTTATTTTCATTGCCCTAGAAAAACAAGAATAAACTTGTCAGCACATGGTGTACCATGAGGTATTCATGGCAGACATTAGGAAGGGGATGTCTAAAGTGTTAGTGTCCTTCATGACATGATAATAAGGCAGAATGAACAAGGATACACAAAACCTCAGTGCTCTTCATGGCTGAAGTACAAAATGTAAATAATTATAGAAGCTTAAATGTTGATTCATTTCCTCCCATAGATCAGCAGGAGTGTATCCCTTGCCCACTTCAAGAGTATCCAAACCCTGAGAGAAACAAATGCTTTCTGAAGTCAGTGACATTCCTGTCCTTTGAGGATTCTTTGGGCAAGGCTTTGGCCTGCACAGCTCTGTGCTTCTCTGTCAGCACAGCTGTAGTTTTGGGGATCTTTCTCAAACACCAAGACTCACCCATTGTTAAGGCCAATAACCGGACGCTCAGCTTCATCCTGCTCATCTCCCTCCTCCTCTGTTTTCTATGTTCCTTTCTCTTCATTGGCCACCCAAGCACAGCCTCCTGCATATTGCAGCAAATTGCATTTGCACTTGTGTTCACTCTGGCTCTGTCCACTGTTTTGGCCAAAACTATAACTGTAATTCTGGCCTTTAGAGCCCTGAAGCCAGGAAGAACAATGAGAAGGCTGCTTGTCTCAGGCATCCATAACTCTGTCATCCCCATCTGTGTCCTGATCCAGCTTATTCTTCTTGGAGTCTGGCTGGGAACCTCGCCTCCCTATATTGAGGCAGATGCACACTCTGAACAGAGTCACATCATCATTTTGTGCAACAAGGGCTCACTTACTGCTTTCTACTGTGTGCTGGGATACTTGGGGATCTTGGCCCTAGGGAGTTTCACTCTGGCTTTCCTGGCCAGGAACCTGCCTGACACATTCAATGAAGCCAAGTTCCTGACATTCAGCATGCTGGTGTTCTGCAGTGTCTGGGTCACCTTCCTCCCTGTCTACCACAGCACCAAGGACAAGGCCATGGTGGCTGTGGAGGTCTTCTCCATCTTGACTTCTAGTGCAGGGCTGCTAGGATGCATCTTTTTCCCAAAGTGCTACATTATTCTTGTTAAACCTGATGAAAACTCTTTGAAATATTTGAAGAACAAAATACAATCTAGATAAAATTGATTGGTTAATAAATTGAGTCTTTTTCATAACATCCTATAGTTTAATATAGTAAAAATTGAACTTACTTAACTTTTCAGTAAGATTTTCTGAAATATATATTTAAACAAATTCGAAGAGCCCCTCACTGTGTCTCAAATACAATGTATTTCCAAATAGAAGCAACTGCTGAAAATTCACTTTATTTAGCTATTCTTGTTATTTATAAATTTATGGGCAATAGACATATGCAAAATTCAATTACAGACAAGAGAACAGCCCCCTGCAACACCAGTGAAAACCAGAGCCACAAGTCCACCTTGAACCAATTGGGAACATGTAAGGCCACATCTCTGGACTGAGCAGACCAGGTCCCTAGATCCTAGGCCCTGGGGGGAACACCCTGTGCCTCTCCTCCAAGTCATTGGATCCCCAGGGACTAGCCAGCTGCCCCTTCCCCCACCTCCTTCCCAAGAAAACATCCCCCTGTGACACCAGTGAAAACCAGGACATAAGCCCACCCTGTACCAACTGGGAACCGAAAACAGGTCCCACTCTGCACCCATTGGGAATAGCTGCTCCCTGAGGCAGAGCCCACTGGTGCCCATTGGACAAAGTTCTGCTCCTTGAGACACAAAATCCATCAGCACAGATTCAACCAAGAGCCTGGATTAGACCAAGAGCTCCCATTAGACCAAAAGTATCAATCAAACCAAAGTGTCTCCCTCAAAACCAGACAGCACTTGCATGGAATGGAGGAAGGGATGGGTAGACACCACTACAAAAATACAGTCAACAACATACAGACTAATATGTCACCATCAGAACCTAGTGGTGCTACATCAGTAAGATCTGAACATCCCCAAGCAGAAGAAGCAGAAGAAATAGACCTTAAAAATGACATGAAGAAGATAATAGAAGCCTTTAAAGAAGAAATGAAAACTTCCCTTAAATAACTCAAAGGAAAGACAAATAATTGAAAGAAATCAGTAAATCCCTTAAAGAAAGCCAAGAAAAAGCAATTAAATGGGTGAATGAAAAAGTCCAAGATTTGAAAACTGAACTAGAGGCAATAAAGAAGACACAAACTGATGGAAGGCTGGAAATGGAATATCTGAGAAAACAAACAGGAACTACAGATGCAAGTATAACTAACAGATGCAAGAGATGGAAGAGAGAATCTCTGGCATTGAAGATACAATAGAGGAAACAGATTCATCAGTCAAAAAAAAACACTAAATTTAAAAAAAAGTCATAACATAAAACATCCAGGAAATCTTGGACACCATGAAAAGTCCAGACCTAAGAATAATAGGGATAGAATAAAGAAAAGAATACCAACTGAAAGGCATAGAAAATATATTCAACAATGTCATAGAAGAAAACTTTCCCAACTTAAAGAAGGAAATGCCTATGAAGGTACAAGAAGCTAATAGAGCACCAAATAGACTGGATCAAAAAAAAAAAGACCCTTCGAATGTCTTGTTCCTTCCATCTATGATGATTGAAAGTTTTGCTGGGTATATTAGTCGGGGATGACATCCATGGTCTCTTAGTGTCTGCATTACATCTGTCCAGGTCCTTCTGGCTTTCAAAGTCTCCATTGAGAAATCAGGTGTTATCCTGATGGGTTTACCTTTATAGGTCACTTGGCCTTTTTCCTTGGCTGCTCTTAATATTCTTTCTTTATTCTGTACATTTAGTTGATTAATTATTATGTGTTGAGGGGAAATTTTGGGGAGTCTAGTCTGTTTGGTGTTCTATTAGCTTCTTGTATCTTCATAGGCATTTCCTTCTTTAAGTTGGGAAAGTTTTCTTCTATAATTTTGTTGAATATATTTTCTGTGAATTTGATTTGGTATTCTCAATTGTTGAAGCCAAGGTTGGATAAAGCACAGGGACAAATAACCAAATGGATGGAAGCACACAAACTATGAACCAAAGGCTGAGGGGCCCCCAACTGGATCAGGCCCTCTGAATGGGTGAGACAGTCATTTGGCTTGATCTGTTTGGGAGGCAGCTGTGCAGTGGTGCCGGGTCCTGGGCTTGTTGCATGAGTTGGCTGTTTGAATCCGGGGACTTATGCAGGGACGCTTGGCTCGGTCTGGGAGGGGGGGACTGGACCTGCCTGGACTGAGTCTATCAGGTCGATCCCAGTCCTCGGGGGAGACCTTGATCTGGAGGAGGTGGGAATGGGGAATGGGCTGGGCTGAGGGGGAGGGGAGTGAGAGGGGGAGAACAGGGGAATCTGTGGCTATTATGTGGAACTGAATGGTGTTGTAAAATAAAAAAAAGACCCTTTGCAACATAATAATCAAACCACTAAACATATAGAATAAAGATATAATATTAAGAGCTGCAATGGAAAAAGGCCAAATAACATATAAAGGCAGACCCATAAGAATAACCCCTGACTTCTCAATAGAGACTCTGAAAGCCAGAAGTTCCTAGACAGAACTAATGCAGAAAATAATAGACCATGGATGCCAACCCAAACTATTATATCCAGCAAAACTCTCAATCACTATAAATGGAGCAAACAAAATATTCCATGATAAAACAGATTTAAACAATACCTATCCACATATCCAGCCCTACAGAAAGCACTAGAATGAAAAATCCAAACTAAAGAAGTTAGATACAACCATGAAAATACAGGCAATAGATAATTCCACACCAACAATCACCAAAGAAGAGAAACACACAACAATTACCAACAAAAATAACAGGAATTAACAATCACAGTTATTAATATTAATTAATATCAATGGTCTCAATTCACCTATAAAAAGACATAGGCTGACAAAATGGATACAAAAACAGGATCAATCTTTCTGTTGCATACAAGAAACATATCTCAACTTTAAAGACAGACAATACCTCAGAGTAAAAGACTGGGAAAGGCTTTCCAATCAAATGGACTTAAGAAGCAAGCTGGTGTAGCTATCTTAATATTTAATAAAATAGATATCAAACTAAAATCAATTGAAAGAGATCAGAAAGGACATTATATACTTATCACAGGGAAAATCCACCAAGATAAAGTCTTAATTCTGAACATTTATGCCCCAAATGTAAGAGTACCCACATGTGTAAAAGAAAAATTACTAATGTTTAAATCGCACATCAAGCCCTACACATTAATAGTGGGAGATTTCAACACCCCAATTTACCACTGGGTGAATCTGCCAGATTGAAACTTAACAGAGAAATAAGGGACCTAACAGAAGTTATGGCTCAAATGGACTTAATAGATATATACAGAACATTTCACTGAAACACAAAAGAATATGCCTTCTTTTCAGCACCCCATGGAACCTTCTCTAAAATTGACCACATGCTCGATTACAAAGCAAATCTCAATGGATAAAAAAAATTGAAATAGCCTCCTGTATCCTTTTGGACCACCATGGCTTAAAGTTTGATTTCAACAACAACAAAATTTACAGAAAGCCTCATGGAAACTGGACAGTGCCCAAATGAATCACCAATGAGTCAAGGAAGAAATAAAGAAAGAAATTAAGATTTCCTAGAATTCAATGAAAATGAAAGTACTTCATACCCAAACTTATGGAACACTATGAAAGCAGGGCTAAGAGGAAAATTCATAGCACTAAATGCCCACATAAAGAAGATGGAGAAATCTAACACTCATGACTTAACAGCTCACCTGAAAGCTCTAAAACAAAAAGCAGCAAAACTCACCCCGAAGGCATAGATACTAGGAAATAATCAAATTGAGGGCTAAAATCAATGAAATAGAAACAAAGAGAAAAATACAAATAATAAATAAAACAAAGAGTTGGTTCTTTGAAAAAAATCAACAAGATAGATAAACCCTTATCCAAATTAATCAAAAGGCAGAGAGAGAGAGAGAGAGAGAGAGAGAGAGAGAGAGAGAGAGAGAGA